TCATAGATTCGAACCCGCGTCACCCAGTGCTGTAGTTAGAGACGTTATTTGAATGACAGAATTTAGTTGGCACTAAACAAAGGATTAGACATATTACACCAGTCACTAATCAGTATCCACCTAATATTGTGAATTCTGTAATACGTACTTGTTTAGAGAAATGAATTAATAAAACCCATTCAAAGAATCTAAACAGAAAAGAAAATAAATTGGTGTTTTCTAACTCCGTACAGGCCGTTTCAGCAAGTAAGTAAGCAAATACTGAGAACTGCTTTATATTTTCTAAATTAACTTGCATTCCACATTGATCAGTAATACTGAACCGGAATGCTCACTCTCTACTGATATACTGCCTCCTAGCAAGGACGCTCTGACAATGTCTAAGGACAAATGTGAAATTATTCCGTTTGGTGCTACCTAGCACTGGAATCCAAGATCATCACTTTTTCCTATTCGGGGATAGTCAGCTGCACACACCTATATCCACAGTAAGTAATGGTGGTCGAAATGACACTCAAATATAACCAGCGAACAGGAAATACAAGTTAACTTAAACAGATAATAACTGACATCTCTTATATAAGAGGTGACCTGTGTGGTTCTGACGTATGAAATGAATGGTACTGGGTACTATTATGTCATGAATTGGCAGAAGTTGGAGTTCATGGGCCATTCAATTGGGCCCCAGTGGCTTAATGCTTTACGTGCCCTCTCGCTTTTTCACCAGAAGGTCCTGGGTTCGAACCCCTGCAGTGGGTGCCTACTGCTGAATAGTCCAAAAATAGGACGAAACAACAGTTCAATACTCCCAATGGCTCTCTAACTGATATCAGCTCATGATGAAATCCTCCGATCAATCAAACAAATTCTACTTTATAAATGTGAAAATATGAAGAGAATTCATCGAAAATAATATTCTTTATTCAAATTGACTTTTAAATCACGACGATGGGATATTTGAAAGTCTAAAATCACCTAATTCTCCTAGGGTAAATAAATCTGGGTTCAGCAGTTACATTAATTGGTTACAGGATTTCATCGTGAGCTGATATTTGTTAGAGAACCACTGGAAAACAAACTGGGAGTACCGGACAGCTGTTTCCGTCGTCCTAGTTTGGGACTCCTCAACTGTAGGCACCCACCACAGGGGCTCGAACCCAGGACCATCTGGTTACAAGGCCACTATAGTGCTATTCTTCCCCACATGGGTTCCGAAGGGAACATAGTGCTTCAGCAGCACATCTGCATTGCACTTGGTTCTGTGTCACCACTTTACAGGTGTATCCAACACTCCAAAAATGTTGTTATTACCTGTTTACATGATCTCTGTGTCATCCTCAAACTCTGAACTCGTCACCCCACATTAACGTTTCCCTCAAGAACTTGGCGTGTGGTGTCACTCATAGTATGGCCAATCCATTTCCATCTCCTACGTAGTGAGTTCCTAGTTTATTCGTTGTCAATGTCCCTTTTTGCGTATCCCTTCTGACCAGCCACTTGATCTTCAGCGGAGACGTTCGTAATAACTTTTTAGAAACGCTTTTTGCTACACTTCAAATCCCTAAGCAATGCAGAAGCACTGACTATCCAAATGTTCGGATATTGTAAAATTCCACACCAATAACGCCTACACTGCTTTCCCTATCCGTTCCACCAGTTGTTGAAATGATTCTGCCTAGGTAGTGGAAAGAGACGACTAATTTTAGATTTCATCCACCAGCGGTGATTGATGCTAGTCATCTATGCTGACTTGAAGTCTTGTCTTTGTAGCCTCATCTGCCAGCTAGTTGAATTTGGCTTGTATGCCTTTGAGATTTATTTCTCAACTTGAATCACAAATTATCCGAGAATGATGTCAACAATATTAATGATAAAAATAACCTCATGCCCATAGACAACTATTTATTTGTCCCTCTGAACAAAATTAACGTGAAAAAGGAAGGCGAATATAAAATTACTGAACTGTATAAAGTCTTAAAATAGACTTTCACAATATGTCATAAAAATGACAGCCAAAGGAAAAAAATATGTTGTTTACAACATAATGGTTTAATTTAAGTAACACTGATTCAAAATTGCACATTTATGAAGGATATCGTAACGATCATTCAAATTTTAAAAATATAATTCAAAAGATGCAAAAGTTTCATAGTTTCTCAGCCTATAACGATAGAGAAATATCATGTGGATAAAAATTTTGAAACTGATTCCTGCATCAGGTGTACATTAAAAGGCGGCCTGCTGAAGTCGCTGAGCTGACAGATGTTTTATCCATTAAAATACGTATTGTTTACTCTATTTGATGTTGTGCCGTGTGCTACTGATAAGATTTATCAGTAGTTTATGAGGAGATGTTCAGAGACATAAAAACTTCAAATAGCACGGAGATAGATCTGATGTTAGAGAAAGCAAATGATACAGCGTTGTGTATATACATAAGAGACGTGAAAGGAACGCAAAGAAACACAATATGATGGCCAAAAGTAGCACAACACGGAAGATCTTTACGAATGGTGATTTCCAGATAAGTTGTACCTGATTCCGCCATATAAAGATACCAAATCTCGAATAAACTGTCTTTACTAAGTCTGGAATGGCAGTCACCTCTCTAGCTCAACTTCATCGACTTTGAAAAGGCCTTCGACAGCGTCGATCGAGAGGTCATTGGCAACTACTTCGCTACTACGGGGTCCCATCAACAATCATACATCTCATCCAACAGTTATACGACAATGCTGCATTCCAAGTAATCCACAACGGGAAACTTACGGAAGCCTTCGAAGTTTTGAGGACGGGAGTGAGGCAGGGCTGTTTTTTTTTCTATTATCGCCAATGATCTTCCTGATTGCAGTAGACTGGATAATGCGACAGACATTTTTTTTTTTTACGGACAATGAGGAAACAGGCATAAAATGGACTCGAACAAAATCAGACTGGACTTCGCCGATGATATATGTCTGATTTCCCACAAACTGGAAGATATGCAAGTGCAAAGCAACAGGCTGGCAGAGGAAGCATCAGGGAAGATGTGACTTCAATTTTTGTGAACATAGATAAAACAGAGGTGATGAAGATTCCTGGCCAACAGCAACAACAACAACAGATGACAATCAGCATGAATGGGAGGAACCTGAAGGAAATAACCTCCCTTACCTACCCAGGAAGCATCGTTTCAACTACAGGCGGAACTGACGAAGATATCAAAGCCAGAATCGGAAAAGCAAGACAAGCTTTCATTACCCTCAAGTCTGTGTGGAGGTCAACAGCACTCAGCACTAAAAATAAGATCCGGATTTTCAACTCCAATGTGAAGATAGTGCTACTATACGGATCAGAGACTTGTTTTGCGCGTCATGAAGAGCATCTCAAACAAACTTCAGACCTTCATTAACAGTTGTCTTCGCTCAATACTCAAGATCAGATGGCCGGCCAGAAAGGATCAGCCACAAAGATCTCTGGTTTTGAGCGAACCAGCCAGGAACCGATTGCGAAACAAATAGCCAGGAAGAAATGGAGATGGATTAGCCATACACTGAGGAAACCATCAAGTGATTTTCATCACTAGACAGGCCATCTTTTGCTCGAGTGAAACTCGTTTTAAAGGGAAGTGGCGAGTTGGTCGTCAGTGCAAGGGTGTTTTTATTTGGAGGAGGTCATGTGAAGAGGAGATGAAAGCATATGGGCAGACTTGAAGCGGAGTGAAAATGTTGGCAGAAAACAGAAGGCAATGGAGATGGGCAGCTGAAGCCCTACGTTCCTCTAGGAATTAAAGGATATAATAATAATAATAACTAAGTCTTTCTAGTTTAGTTTGTTTATTAGATGTATCACACAGTGAAACAATATTATTTACTGGACGACGTTTCGAACAAAATTTATTGTTCATAATCAAATAATTTACTAAGTCTATCTTCTTTTACCGTCACAATGTCACTTTAATTATCTATTTGTATCCCCGAATCGTACTTCTCGCTCATGACCATTTTCGAATAGGTGTTGTTGACTAGCGGTTATGACGCTTTTAAAGCCGAAAACATTGCAGATTATTAGAGGATGGTTTAGAGGGAATAATATTGCCTTGAATGTCACTTTATCGATTTTTTATTTACTGGATCCAGTGGCCTAATAGATAATGATTTGGTGTGTCGGCAATACAAGAATAGAATGGTCGCCAACCATACAAGTGGTTTGGGATTCGACTTACTACTGAAACACTTATACACATTTCCTAGCTTATTATTATTTATTATTGCTCCCTTGGGTTCCTAGTGGAACATAGGGCTTCAACTGCACGTCTCCACTTGCTTCTGTCTTCTGCTTCTGTCTTCTGCTTGTACTTTTCACCCACACCCATGTTAGTCCATACTCTTTCAACTCCTCTTCACACGATCTCCCCCATGTCACCCTTGCACTGACGTCCCACTCGCCGCTTCTCTCTCGTGTTCCACTCGAGGGCCTGACGCGCGATGTCACCCAGCGGTCTCCTCAGCGAGTGTCCAATCCATCTCCACTTTCTCCTGCATATTTGTTGGGCGATTGGTTCATGTTTTATTTGTTCCCATAGTTTCTTGTTGGTGATTCTTTCCGGCCATCTGATCTTCAGTATAGAGCGAAGACAGTTGTTGATAAAGGTCTGCAACAGGCTGTTGGAAATATTCTTTGTGACTCCCGCCAAGTTTCTGACCCGTATAGAAGAACTGACTGACTTGACGTTTGTATTGAAGATCCGAAATTTTGTTGTTGATGCTGATTGACGAAGATTTCCAGATTGTTTTCAGGTTGATGAATGTGTTTCTCGCCCACCCGATTCTCTCTCGATTTGACATCCTCGTCCGTTCCCCCTGTAGTTGAGAAAATGCTCCCTAGATAAGTGAATGAAGTGACCTCTTTCAAATCCATCCCGTTGATGGTGATTGACCCTGGATGTTGCTGTTGTTGTTGTTGGCTGGTTATTTTCATCACCTCCGTCTTGTCTATGTTCACCTGGAGTCCTGTCTTCACCGGCTGCTTCTTCGACCAGTTTGTCGGTTTTCGCTTGTAAGTCTTCGATTTTGTGTGACATCAAACATAAATCATCCACTCGCGAAATCCAGGTCTTCTAGGTTCTTCACGTCGGTCCAGGATATCCCTGTCTTCTCGTTTCCCACTGTCTGACGCATAATCCAGTCAGTCCACCACAATTAGGAATATCATTGGTGATAATAAGCACCCTTGTCTGACTCCTGTGTTTACTCCAAACGCCTCGCTGAGTTTTCCGTTGTGGATCACTTGACATGTGCCGTTGTCGTACAGCTGTTGAATAAGGTTGATGAATATTTGGGGTACGCCGTAGTACTCGAGTAATTTCCAAATTACTTCACGGTCAACGCTGTCGAAGGCCTTCTCAAAGTCTATAAAGTTGAGGTAGAGGTTTGATTGCCATTCCATGCTTTGTTCTGTGATGATGATGCGTAGAGTTGCAATTTGGTCAGTACATGATTTGCCTTTCCTGAATCCAGCTTGTTCTGGTCGGAGTTCTGTCTCCAGTGCGTCCTTTAATCTCTCCAGGATGATGCGACTCAGGATTTTACTTGGCGTCGATAGGAGCATGATTCCTCGCCAGTTCTTGCAGAGTGAGGCCTAAGTCGCCCTTCTTTGGTAGTTTCACGAGGTAACCTTTCCTCCAGTCAGTAGGCACCTTTCCCTCCTTCCAGACCTTTTGCAATAATGGAGTCAGCATGTCTGCTGTCGTCTCTGGGTCCGCTTTCAGTGCTTCAGGGGGTATTCCATCTGGTCCGGCTGCTTTTCCAGCTTTCAGAAGCTTGATTGCGTTCAAGACTTCAGCTCTCGTTGGAGGATTGGTGTCAACTTGCAGTTGTGTACGCGCTGTTGTTGGTATTTCTGGACGGGTTGCAGGTGATGGTCGGTTCAAGAGTCCTTTGAAGTGATCCGCCCATTGTTTAATCTGTTTTTCTTCCTTGGTAATTGGGTTCCCTTGGCTGTCTTTTATAGGTTTCGCTTGTGTTGATCTCTTCCCGGATAGAGATTTGGTTATCTGATATAGTGTCCTCAGGTCCCTTTTGCCTGCTGCCTTCTCAGCTTCAGTGGCGAGGTTGTCGTAGAATCGTCTTTTGTCCTTCCTAGCACTCTTCTTCACTTCTTTGTCCAGTGCTTTGTAAGTTGAGCTCAGCGTCTCCTTCTCCTGTCCGTCCTTGCATTGAATCATTTTCTCTTTCACCATTCTCCTCTCTTCTATTAATTTCCAAGTGTCCGTTGAGAGCCATTCCTTGTCTTGTCTCTTCTTTCTTCCTAGAACCGTTGAACACGTTTCGTTGAGAATCGCCTTCAGAGACTTCCAATGTTCTTCCACGCATGATTCTTCAGTGATGTCGCGTAGTGTTTCCTGCTTTGCTCTGACAGTTGCAGTGAAAGTGTCTTTTGTGGTTGTGTCCTTCAGTAATTGAGTGTTGAACTTGCATTGTGGCCTATCCCCAGCTATCCTCGAGGCTTTTAGTTTCACCTTGAAAGTCCCTTCTACTAGATAGTGGTCTGAACCCACATCTGCTCCTCTCCTTGACCTTGTGTCCAGTAGGCTCCGTCTCCACTTTCTTGAAATTGAGATGAAGTCTATTTGGTTTTTGGTGTTTCCATCTGGTGAAATCCATGTCGTCTTGTGTATATCCTTGTGTTTGAACACACTGCCACCAATCACCAAATCATTGAAGGCGCAGAAGTCTGAGAAGAGTTCACCATTGTCGTTCATTTCACCGAGGGCCTCACGACCCATGGTGAGTTCTCTTCCTGTGTTGTCTCGTCCCAGCTTCGCATTCATGTCGCCCATCAGGATTTTGATATCGCCATTTGGGACGTTGTCCATTATTGCTTGTAGTTGTCTGTAGAACGCCTCCTTCTTCTCTTGTTCTGAGACGTTTGTAGGCGCATAGCATTGAATGACTGTAACTTTCCTTCCTTTTGAGTTGAACCTGGCTGTCATTATCCTGGAGGAGATTGGTTCCCACTGCATGAGAGCTTTGGTTGCTGTTGGTGACATCATGATGGCCACTCCCTCGGTGTGCTCGTGGTTGTCCTCTGGGTGGCCGGAAAAGATTACTGTCTCTCCAGTAGGTAGTTGGCACCTTCCAGTTCCGTTCCATCTGCTTTCGCAGATTCCCAACACTTCTATTCTGTACCTTCTCATTTCAGCGGCTATCTGGGCAGCCTTTCCAGTTTCGTACATTGTACGAACATTCCAGGTACCCATCCTTACTTTTGCTTTCATCGAAAGAAGGCACATCGGCTGACTGGCTTCCCGAAGGCTTTCACCAGCCTGCGTCATTTCACTTCCCCGATTCCAGCGAAAAGTAAGGCTATTGCTTATGTTTTTAGAATTTTTAATATATTTATTCGTTGAAGTTTCTGTAGCGATTTGGTTGTTTTACAGGGGTGGAGTTGCTAGCACCACGCCCCAACCCTCCCTCTTTACCCGGGCTTGGGACCGGCGAGAAAACTAGTAAGCTAGTAGCCTAGCAAGCTAGTATCTGGCGAGGTTAATCTGGAAAAGAGGAAGTCTTGGAGGTGAGGCTAGCAACGTTACTTATTAAAAACGACTCCACGTCTCCTGAAACTTGAACGCCTAATGCTTGAAGCCTTACGTTCCATTCGGAATGAAAGTAGCGAAAACAAATCACTTGAAGAGTCTATACATGGAGTGCATACTTTGTAATATAACATGCTGAGAATTGTGTGCTACCTATGAAAACGTTTTTTCAGAATAATTCTATTATTATTATTATTATTTCATTAATGGAGATTTGCTGATTAATGATGTTACCTACATGATACCCAGTGAGACTGCTCTTCATGCTTGTAGAGTTAATACTTCTCAGTTTGATTTAACGTTGTTGAAAGTGCTTCCCTTTCACTTGGGAATATCATGAGATCAATTAAATCTAAATGCACTTATAATGCATGATCAGAAATAATTTTACAGCCTTTCCACTAATGTATGTAACACGTCTTACACAAATAACCCTTTTTTATGATATAAGGGTAGAAATCGTATACTTTGGTAGTAATTCTAAAAATAGCGCTTTTATAAAATCTATTAAACATCCCTGTTTTTGCGAACGAGTTATCTAATAAACGAAGTGATCTGGAATCTTAGTTTTATCCCACTAGAAAACATATTTTTTATTCCAGCTTGATTCCGCATTGTATTTTTGGTACAAGTATGGAATTTTCACCATGTGATATCGGTAGCCAAAATTTTGCAGGCCAACCATAGATATCAGGTGCGCGTTGGCAGAGGATCGAACCCCGGACCATGTACATGATCGTAGAGAGTCCTAGCCACTGAGCCACCGACGCACGAATATTATAAGGGCAATGATTTTATTCTAAAGAGCCGAATGTTCTTGACACTAATGTCTGCTTGAATTAACACCCCCGAGGAATACTCATTTAGAGTGAGATATATTTTTTATCATAAGCATAGTTAAACTTTAAGCAGCAAGAAAACAGGTTGTGTAATACTCAAATGCTCTCAAGAAGTGTAGAAATCTTAGAAAGGGGTGTAAAATTAACAAGACTGATGGACAAATGTGCGTCATTGGCACAGTGGTAGAATGCTCGCCAACCACGCCGGTGGTTCGGGGTTCGATCCCCGGCTGACGCACTCTTCCTTTACCTCGCTAAGCCAGAACTAATGCTGGTAAAGAGGAAAGGTTGGGCATGAGGCTAGCAACCCCATCCTGTAAAAATAAACACAACTGCTACAGAAACTTCGAAGCTGTAGCTTGAAGCCCTATGTTCCACTGGGAACCTAAGGGAATAAAAACAAGATGGACAAACAAAACATTACTGGACTGGACAGTGTTTTATACTGTGAAAATTATTAGGTTGAATTTTCGTAGGATACAAGTAAAGTAATATCAAAAACCGCTTAAAATAAAAACAATAGTGATAATAATAATACTAAGGAAACATAATAAAAAGAAAATGACAGATCAAAATGAGACTAATACTGTAGTGAGTTTCTTCCGGTTGAAGAAATTATTGTTCTTCCAGTTGACATAGAAAATTGCTTATCGATTACCTTGTAAAGAACTTGTAGAGACTAGTTTAAACTTCTCTCTATGATAAAATTGACAATGTAATTGCAAGCACTAATAAATAAGTGTCAACATAAATGATCTAATCGAATCTATTAGACTTCTAGTACACATGTGACTTCAGTTTGATGCCTATAAAAGAATTTCTATTACTTTTGACTGCATTGTTTACTCAAAAGAGGAGAGAAATTACTTAAGGAATGTTTTGGTTAACAAAAAGATGAACGCTTATACCACAGTATTTTGCTTGTATTCATCACTACTATTTATGGCGACAAAACAATCATAAATTGTAATTTAAATGCCGTAGGTTTTGAAAAGAGACGTCACTGGTGCAATGATAGAATATTCACTAATCATGCACGTGACACCGGGTTTGATTCGCTGGTCAGAAAAGAAGGAATGTTGGGCATGATGCTTACAGTCTCAATCTGTTAAAATGACACTGAGTCATACTGAAACTCCGAAGATTCATGTTTGTGTTCCCCTTCTAACCTAGTGGATGGAAAAAGGTTCTTAAAAGAAACAGTAGTAGTTGGAACCGTTTGGTTTTCTAATAATCAACATGAACTCGCGTATTATGCATTATCAGTGTTCCCAAGTAATTACCAGGAATTCGAGTGGCTTAAACAAATTTGATTCTTTGCGTTGAGTCGAAATAGGTACACTGCTTTAGAGCTCAACTACAAATAAGTAAACCGACTGCGCGATATTTCGATAACTTCAATCTGCCTAGTAATCCCTACTGTTTGACTTGAGTGATTTCCAGCTCTTCACATTAACGATAGTATAAGCAACCTAGCTATTTTTGCTGGTACTTTGCCTTCTGTTGCTAACAGTAAACTGGAATTTACGATACCCTGCTGTTAAACTGTGAGTTGACTAAAAACTCTTCTAAATAAAGTAATTCTGAATTTTCAAGCAAATGAGAAGGATAAGCACAACAAATCTGTGCACATTGTCAGATTTGATAAGTGTAAAAGGTATAAAAACAGGATGTGTTTTTGTAGTGACAAGTGTCTAACACATTCGTGTCAACACTGTGTCAACTTGTGAAAGAAGTTTAAAGCAATTATTTCCAATTATGAATTTCTATAACACAATGAGATGTAGTTTATCTGAAACGTGTAATGTACTTGCGCAACCTATTTTGGACATTCTGAACACACACGTACTTGTCATACACAGTTTTATAGAAGGCAAGAAGGCATGAATAATTATAAAACAGGTCAGACTGTGTACAAGTTGAGGTCACATATAATGGATGAGGGGATAACGCAGAGGTGTGGGTAAGAAAGAAAAAAAACAAAGCAAACAAGAGGTTTAAAAATATTGTGAATTAAATTGATCCTTGGTTCTAAATTGGATTACCAAGGCAGGTTTAAAGTAAGAACAAATAACTTTCGGACACATAAGATAGGTTTAAATCTTTTTATGGTCAAGACTTCAGCGGATTTAAGCATGCAACCCAGCCTTGTTTTATATATGGGCTTATAGGCATTGCTGAAATCAACCTAATGACCCGTCTCTATAATGTTCTTCGCTATAGATAATG